CAAAGAGGAGTAAATGAAGAGGGTCAGTTGGGTAGCAGTCAGGATTTGTATTGAGTGCAAGCATGCGTTCAGGTGTAGATACTTGCACAAAAGCATCTCATTAAAATTATGTAGTAGAATGTGTTATGTGATATATTAAAAGCTAATGTTAGAGATGCAGGACTGTCTTCACTGTCACTTGCATTTTCACTTGTTTCTTGCTGTTTCCATCCCTAGTGCTTTATCAGCAGATCTCTAACTTGTTTAGAGATATTGGATATTAAGACAAGCAATCTGGTCCTCTTCTCTTTACTTCATTACTCTAAAGTAGTCAGTTGGCCCAGTCCCAGAAAGCAGTTATATAGAGATAGATAACTGACCTGGAAAAAGCAAGGCTGGGCATGAACAACTAATCTCATTTCTTCTATTGCCCTGGCCTTTTTCTTCTTAAATGCAGGATGCTGTCTTTTCCTTTCTTCAGCAAGACTGTGAGCGAAGTCTCCTAGACTTCTCCATCCCATGTTTCGCAGGAACTTAGTGTCTTGTTCTTCCTCTTCCATTCTTTTTTTATCATCTATGCAGATATTTTGAATACAGGACAAAAATAGTGAGCTGATTTTGGATACCTGTGTTCTGGGTCAAGCAGCTACTAGGAGTCAAATGGAAAAGGGTAATATAAATATCAAGAAGAATATTCCCCAACCTCTCATTAGAATAATAATTTTAAAGAGCTTTGAAAATTAATACTTTAAAGACTGCCATTGTGTTATCTTATAAGAACTCATTCACAAGTGATAATATGATTTGTATTAGTTTTAAAGAAGGTGTTGTCACCATTGTCATCATTTTCTTAATGCAGAGAACTTCTTTCCCTTTGGAGCCGGTTCTTTAAAAAAATATCAAGGGAAGAGAGAGGGAGTAAGGAAAATGGACACTGATTTCAAATGAAAGTTGCTAGCTGCTCCCACTGCAGCCACCTGAAGAAAAGTTATCCTAAAGGATTGAATGTTAGTCTTGCAGTGTCATTTATCACTGAGATGTTGTCTCACTGTGTTTCTGTCAGTGCAATATCATCTCGCATTTGTTCATCTTAATTGGGTACATCAGAAGATATATTCGTGTGATCCTTGGAATTACATCATTAAAGTGGTGTCTTTTAAAACTACCGTATGTACAGTTTAACAGTTATTAAGGCAACAGTAAGAGTGATGATGTCTAACATTATTTGCCCTTAAGATCACACTTAAGTACAAGACAGATTTTGTGAACTAGTGGTGAGTTCTTGGACATCCCTTTTTTTTGATTCTTTCAGGTCTTCCATCTGCAGACTTCTCGTTAAGTGCATGTGTTCTGCTAAGGATGTAATTTACCAACTGTGCTTGCTAATACCAGAAAATGTAATCTTTAATTTTTGAAAGCTAAAACCAGTTATTTTTTGTTGGTTTAAGAAACACTTGCTTTTTTTGTGATAAGCTTCTTTACTTAATCTTCCAGAAAGCAAGAGCAACACCACCTGAGAGAGATTTCACTGCAGCTTGAACCAGTTCTCTATCAGATTCTTAAATGTTCATGTTCAAACTTCAAACCACTTCTGTAGTTTTTTGTTTAAATGTAATTTATACTGATTATAGTATTCAAAGTATAAGTAAGTTATATACACCAGAATTTAATTTATTAGGTATTGGGGGAAATTATGTAGTAGTTGTACTGCAAGACTTAATTTTATTGTTAAACTTACCCACTAGATGTCTGATGAAATTTCCATCTTTGGAGGTACTCAGAGCTCAAATGGGCAAGGCCCTGAGTAGTGTGAACTAAGATGGCCCAGAGTTGAGCAGGAGGTGGGACTAGGTGGTTTCCAGATGGTCCTTCTGACCTGAATTGTTTTATGGTCTTTTGGAACTATGAAATTACTTTTGTTAAATTAGATATTACTAGATGTCTAATATAAAACTGTAATAAAGGAGATGCAGATCAGTAAACAAAAGCTGTATATTTAGCCTGTAAAGTGTGTAATAAAGACAGTGATAAAAGGGAGGATGATTTTCTCTGGCTGAAAAATAAATTTACTGAAATACGCTGAAATTAAAGTAATGCAAAGTGAACCAGATGCTGGATAAAGTGAAATTAAGAACAAAGTGGTTTTGAAGAACAGCTAGCAATCAGAATTTCTGCTTGCAGATTATGAAGAGTTCATGGTTTATAAAAGAATATCTACTGGGTTTTTAATCACTAGGGGAAAGGGAAGTGGAATGTTTGTTAACAGCAGAGGTGTCAAGTTGTCCCCTGGAGCAGTTACAGCCATATAAAGCCCAAGCTATGCTCATGCTTTCATTCCTTCTTACTGTGAAAAGATAAGCATTTCAAAGCAATCTAATCATTGATGTTATAAGTCAAGTTTATGTACAAATGTTGTGTACCATTATACTCAAAAATGTTTATCTGTTTTATGCTGAATTATGTAATGCACATCCTGCTTAAATATGAAGGATAACATTGGTTGAACAGTCAGTTGAAGAATACCATTGAAGGTATTGTTAAAAGTTTTAGTCATGTACTCCAAGTAGTATATATAAACAGCAAGAAGTTATGAGACAGTAGATTAAAGCTGATGGAGGTCTGGATCAGTTTTCAAAGGAAAAAAAAAAGAAAAAAAAATTACTTTCCTATTTACAGGCCAGCTAGTCAAACAATCCCTACTCTTTTAGTATGCTGATGACTTTAGAGATGCATGGTACTTAAAATAGTATAAGGAAAAAAGTGAAGGATTTGTTAGCTAAGCAAATTTTTAAAGTGGCACTTCATAAATGATTCTTTGTAACGGAAACACTAGCCAGATTTGAAGGGATCGTTTCACTGTATGTTTACTAAATAATAATTTTCAACAAGTTAGCAGTAGTGCTGAATTTTATTTGAAAAGTCCATGCTTGAGGTTGCATAATTATAACACATCAGAAGTCAGAAAGTAAAAATGTACTTGTTCAAAGCATTTGCTTGAGAAATAAAGTAAATATGGTATTAAAATTTTAAGTAATGGGACCATAAGTCACCTGAACAAGAAAGCATTTTATCTTGCATCTTTAGGAGAGAGAAACATGTGTTCTATATTACTGATCTGGTGCTGTTTTTTCTATCATTCTGTCTTACTACAGCATTTTGAAGTTACAGAGTTATAAAAAACAAGTAATACATGTTTGAGAGTAATTTAAATATCATGGATATTAATTGATTAAATACATTTTCCATCCTAATGATTGTATTATTATATTTAGGAAGGATCTCTGAGGCAGATGGTAATATGTACTGACTATTTAGTACATCAGGAGAAAAAAAAGATGTTCTTTTCTAAAAATTTCTCATGCCTCAAAGCATTAACAACGATTCTGACTGAGTGCACTGATCCTGAATTCCTAGCCGAATCCCTTATGGTATAGTTAGTCCATCAAAGAAAGCAGAGCGCATGTGTCTGGAGTTTCTGTAGACATGGCAAACTCCAAGACAAGATGCTTGTAAGCCCGGAGAATTGAATAGATAGGGAGAACAGGTTCACTGAGTGATTTTTGTTTCTTAAGGAGGAAGCTACAGCATTTGATAGTAGTATGCTGCTACTGATAGTAATAATTTTGACTCTCTGCTGTTCAGAAAACTTCCTACCAATTCTGTGATTTTTCCAGTGTGCTTGTACATCAACCAGCATGCTGTGTGGTGTTGGTTATATATACAAAATGTTGCAAAATCTAAGTGATAAAAGATATTTCTTTTTTACTCCCAAATTTATTGTTTGGTTTGTTTGGGATTTTTTTCAGGCAATCGTAATCCTTTTAGTCTGAAATTACATCTTTCCTTGGTTTAGCCCTATTTTTGGCATGGTTGTTGCTGACAGAATTTGTGAATAACAATTCTTTTAAAGGAATTGTAAAATGCGTAATAATTTGTCCATGGCAAGCATTTAGTTTGAGTGTGATGCCTTACAGATTACAAATAAACATTAATATGAGTATAAGTTACGTTTTCAGAAATACAAGAGCCTGCGTACTGCCTTAAGACTACATTTGTACTGGAGAAAATGGATCAGCTTTACTGACGTAAGAAATTAGCAGGCTTTTGGATTAACCAGGTAGAAATTATGCACATAGTTCTTGCACTGTTTATAGATTCCGTAGTGAATACGGACCTGATATGTATATATTAATCTGTGCTGAAGCACTTGGTTGATTCTCTGTAATTTCTCTTTTCCCAGCACAAAGGATGATCATTTCAATGTTAACATTCAACCCCCTGTTGGAGAACTGCTTTTGCCTGTGACTATGTCAGAGAAAGACTTTAAGAAGGAGCAAGGTGAGAAATATTTCATCAGCGTTAATAAAGGCGCTTGGATAAGAGGACTGCGTGCCTTTCAATTTCCAAGCGTACAGCAGGTGCTTTCAGTGTAGCGCTGTGTGTTAGTCTCTGTTAGTATTCAGTCTGATAGTAATGATTTAATTTAAAAATACCTTAGAAAAGATGTGCGATGGTATTGGACGTTTTTTCGGTGTGCCTTTAAAAGGGCAAAGCCCACCCTTTACCCTGAAACGGTCTTTGGGCTCACAGAGTTTTGACTTCCTATCATGAAGAGTGCATGTCGTTCCTGCTAGTTAGTAAAGCAAAAAGTTGAAACCTCAGCTCGAGGAAATAAACCAAATATGGATCAATATGGTGTCTGTCTTCACTAGTCTTCATTCCAAGGCTATTTTTAAACACTGTTAATGTTCCTCGGCTACTTTGAAGATTATTTTGATCTTTTTTCCTTTCAAACACTTTATATAAAAAAAAAAATTCTTGTTGGAAAACTCTTTTAGAAGGGTGACATCTGCATTCTTATAATGTTGTTTCTTTAAAGAATGAAGGTTTCAGAAGCTAGTCCTAACACAAACCTACGTTTTTAGTGACTTGAGTATTTTATACGAAATAGCTAGAGAAAATTGTGCTTGGCTTCGTGTTTTAAGTGGAACAGTCCATACTGCTGCCCTTAATTTGGATATGATTCTTGGATATTTTAAAATACGATCAATCACATTTTGGGTGCATTCAAATGTAATAGTGTTTACTTATGTATCTCAATGTATGGGGATTTACATGTGTAAATCTCGTCACATAGAGATGAGAATATACCCATGGGATCCTGTCTCATAGCTGTGTAAGGCTCAGAAGCTCAGTATATCCGTCAACAAGTTAAGAACACCAATGAGTAATGCTGTGTATTATTAATTACTGCTTTCCAGCATTTCTTGATTTTGTATTTTTAAATTATTAAGAAAGTAGTTTAAATATTGCCTGGATCGTTTTCAGTTAAGCTTATGGCTGCAGTGAAAAGTTAGGATTGTGCTTTGTTTTCTTAACCAATTGATACTTATTTGCTGTTCTTACCCTTTTCTGGCTAAAGCCTGCCTCTCTGCTTTATACCTGCTCAGCAAACCAAGGTGAGTGAGTGAACGAGGCTGTGGCACATTTATTTTAAACTGTTCCCTTCTAAAAAATTGTAGCTGCGGATGTAGTGAAAGGAAGGCAAGTTACTGTTCTTCTCCCCACATCCCCCTCTCCCCCCCATCCCCGCGTTTTTATATTTGTTTGCTTTGTGATATTTTGACAGTTTTTGTATGTTTTACTGTGACTGAGGGGTTTTTTTCCTCCTGACTGGCCATACAGAACCATGAACACATAGAAGAAGTGTACTTGGAGAATAGCTGTGGTCCTCTGTGGAGTTGTTGCCAAAATTCCTTTTTCTTCTGCCATTTTACTTCTATGGTTGTTGATTATTTGTCTGAATAAATCTGGCAGCTGTTTGCTATGTTTAATAGAGCAGAAAGGCTACTCTGAATAAAGCTATTTGAAAATTTGTTTATATGAAGTATTTGTAAATCCATGAAGGTCTCTTGGCATTTCTGTATCGCTCTCTCTGTCTTCCTGAATTCATTCTTTGATGAAGGACTTGATGCTGGCAAATTTACCACAGGTTTAAAAGCCTTTTCTATTGCATCTTTTTTTCTTACAGATATCAGCTGTTTCAGAATATTCGTGGTAATAGAGGTCTCAGTTCTAAATTTTACAGAAGTATTTATTACAAAGATCTAGGAGCAGCTAGCATTCGTGGAGAATTACTGTGTGATCTTGCTAAATGAAAAATCCAAATTACAATAATGAATGCAGGGCAATTTAGAAGTTGATACACATTATTCTGTCTTGTGTTTAACTTCGACTTGTCTGTATTCGCCAAATTAATCTGATTTATATAACTAGTTTTTCCACTTGTCATGCTCTTTCTTTTTCCCTTTTTTTTTTTCGTTTTTGGACATAAGGTGTTTCAAGTCCTGTACCTGGAGATGCTTTATTTTATTTGCAACCAAAACAAATAGATAAAGAATAGTGAAGGAGTGAGGTGAATATTAGAAATGCCATATTATATTGGGGGAGAATGAAAATATGTATGGATTTTAAATTTTTTTACATCTAGATTGCATGTGTAACCTAATAAGAATGCTAAAGAGGAAATAGCCAGTATTATACTGCCATGTAGAAGACAGTTCATTGCTACACATCTTTACTCAATTACACTGTGTTGTTTTGCATTTTCTGTTACATTTGTGTATGTCCATTTTCTTCCTGATGGCATAAGGAGAGGGAAACGGAGAGGTTATTGAATATTCATGGCTGTGAAGGTTATCTGGTGGTAGCAGCAGCACCTCGAAGGCTGGATTTATCCACATGCTGCGCATGATACGCTTAGCCCTGCTACACCACTGTCTTCCCTACGGTCCTGAGCCGGGGAATCCTCTGGTGAGGTAATTCCCCAGAGCAGCAGCTGAGTTAGCAGTTGATGCTGTGATTGACAATTTGGAAGCAGTGGGTAAAAATGGTATTGTCAAACTACTTTTTACCTTTCTGGTTAAATATATTAGTGGATTTTATAGCCTGTTTTACATCACATCCCCATGAGAGGTCTGGTTTCTGTAGCAGGAATTATGCAAGAGTGAGACATGTACAGTTGGGTTCTCTGTATACAAATGTCTACATCAGCTGTTCTTAAAAATCAGCGAAATTCCCCTTGCCTCAGAATAGGACTCGCCTGGTAGCTAACGTATCTTCCTGTCTACCAGTGTAATTTTTCTGATTTCAGTTTCTTTTATTATTAAAAATGTGTACAGTTATTTCATTGTATCACTTAGTTAACCCAGATTAATTGCTGGTCTGTGCTCTGACTAGAGTTTTCTTAAATTTTCATGTTTCAAACAATATTAAAGGTGGCATGTGATTGTTGATGTAGCTGGCTATTAATCAGAATTTTTGTGAAGGTGTTTTTAAAATAGTCAGTTAAAACTACTTTAAGTATAAACACTGGGGTTTTTTTCCCCTACAGACATGTGTTAAAATAGTTTGGTCAATTTTTTTTTAAAGTGTATACCTGATTCATTAAAAAAAAAAAAAGAAAAACCAAACACCTTGGTTAAGTAAACAAATTGTTTACCTAATTTTATTAAGATTTACATATCCAACTTGTCTTCCTAACAAGCAAGATGCTAATTCTTTAAATGGTTGGACATTTACTATTTTCTGGCCCTTGACTACCACGAGCAATCATATTTGATGCCCCTTAATTAGAGCACCCTTTTTTCTCTCCAGGTTCTTTTCCACCTCAGCAATCGAGACAATACATTTGCTTACCATGCTGCTCTCCTAAGTGTTCTTTTGCATGTAAATTAATCTTGATTCAGTTTACACTGTCATGCTGAGTGGTACAAATTGCCTATAACAATAAAACAGCATGAGTTAAAAATAAAGGGGGGTGAAAAGGCAGATTGAATGTGTGCCTTACTTGATAGGATGTTACTTTGCTTTATGCCAATACATTAGTCGACGATAATGAATCTTCTGTTCTGAAAAGCATGGTTTAGTTGATTTTTTTAATTTTACTTCAATGGAGCAGTACCTTGTCTTTTATAGAACAAGTTAGACAAACCATTAATGACAAGAGTGTTAAGGTTAAATATGAAGCAATGCATTCACTTCTCTGAGTGCTATCCATCTTTCCATTTACAGGAGCTTGACAAAAGTACTGGCTTTGTACAACATTTCCTTTAATTACATGCTGCGGGAAACAGGCTTTTAACATAAACATAGTTGCATTCATTTATTCAGCATTTGCTCTTCAATAGAGCTTAATGGAGAAGGTTTAAATCCTAAATGAGTACACACATCTCTCAGCAGTGTTATGTCAGTCCCTGTGCTCTGCTTAAAAGCAGTTTTAGTCTGCGTATGTAGTTTTTAAAGCTTTTGCCTAATAGTGAAGTTAAACAATTTGAAACCGAATGTTCTATTCCCAAGATAAAGCTGATCTTTATAGAAGTTGTATGCTTATTTTTTGTTCTCTTCCATAACCAATCATGTTCAAAAATATCCCGTAATTTACTTATGAGCTGTTCCATTTTTACTTTGATATTTCTTATTTTGTGACAGCAGCTAATGCACATTCTAGTGCATTAAAATGTTGGATTTATTTTTTTAATTGCTCTATTAAGCATTTTAGTGCCATTTGCTCTGGGTTAGAGCTGTATGTGCATCCCTAAAATATTAGCCTTTTGAGACTTTTGCGTTGTTTTCATTGTTAATGTTCCTGTGGATTTCAGATGCTTCATATTTCTGCCTAAAGTATTGCGCTCCATTGTTTGTCTGCATTTTCAGCTGCTGAACATACTGTAAAAATGCACACACAGTGTTAAGTTGTAGTTACTGTTGGGTTTTAATCAACACAAGTGTCCAGCAGACCATTCTTCTAACCAATGGATGTTGACAGAAAAGTAGGGGTTTTTGTTAAAATGTCCTGGAACAACATTTCCTCCTTTACTGTGTTTTGGTCATATGTTTGGATGTAATCTTGACATTTCTTGACATTTAATCAAACAGTTTATCATGACATTTTAGAGAAGTGGATACTAACTGAATTTCCCAGTTTCTAATGTGATGGCTTTGTCTTCATGAACTGAACTGAACCAATGACTGTCTGAATTTCAAGAATAATTTTAGCAATTGTATATGAAATTATAACTAAATGCAGTGGGTTAATGATTGAAAGATCAGAAGGTGACTTCATATATGATCTTACTTAAGCTGGACTCTTCCAAATAAGTCTTAACTAATATTTAATTTCTGTGTTTACATTCTTCTTTTAAGTTACGCATTTTGTGAAAAGAACCATCTTGGTTTCACAGTTGCATTAGTATCACCCATAACATTGTTCAGTTACCATCTTTTTCTAATGGCATTGCAAGTAATACATTAGTTTAATGTAATTGTGTAGTTTCTTATAAAACATTTCTTGATGAATTATTTAATTTTTAATGCAAATGTGGGGTTTTTTTACAGAAGTGTCAGTTTGGTTTTATGCTTAATAAGCAGGTCTTAAGAGGTATTCATAATGAAATGCTTAATGTTTCAGGGATGCTGACAGGAATGAATGAGACATCTGCTACAATAGATGTTGCTCCTCAGAACTCTACTAGACTCGTAATAATGGAGAGGGTAGTGAAGGCAGCAAACCTGGGTGTAGTCCCTTCTGGTCAAGATAACATACACAGGTAAGATTACCTGCTATTCATAGTGGACATCTTTTAATATGAGTTTGTTAGTTCAAAATTTGTGTATGGAACAATCAAATATCTAGACTTTACACAGTTAGGGGGAGTTGTCCTTTACAGCTTTTGTTTCAAAGAGAAAAGGTACCATGTCAAAGCACAATACTTTGAAGAACATCTATGCCCTTTTTTGACTTTTCTTTCTGAAAATAAGTGTTAAAAATAAATTCAGTTTTATCATCTGTGAGCTGCACCTTGGTTTTCCCACATTAATTTTTGATCTATGATACCCAGCTAGTTAAACCTAGGACTTGATTTTTTGTTTCAGTTGGATGAAGATACTTTTAAATTTCAGGTTGAACACTAAATTCAAAATTTCCTTGTCCTTCCTATATATGCAAGGAAAAACAATGATCAGCCAAGAAAGTCATTGGCCCTGTCTAAATTCCAGATGCTACTTATCCATTTCATCCAAAAGCTGTGGTACAGAATGTCAGTGAAATTTATATGTTTGCTGGTTAATGACAGCTTTTAATGTGATTGACTCAAAATATTTAGTCCTGTGAATATGTATGGCTTCTCACCTGTGTCAGGAACAAACAGGAAAATTTCCATGTATGGAAAACTGAGTGGAAAGAAATAATAACAGCAAGACATAATTGAAAGCTGTTAACCTTGTCTTAGAATAAGAGAATGCATACATCTCTCCTAGCATCTACTAAAACGGTTCCAGAGTGTGAATTGTGTCTCTAGTCCCCTGAAATTTTGTTATTTCAATGGAAGCAAAGTATCATCTTTTAAAGCAAAGAACAGTGTTTTTCTCTGAAATTTTGCTGACTGAGATGGCTGTCTGGAATGGTGAGAATCTTGTAGCCTACACAGGATTAATAACCTGATACTTCTCTTTGTTGGGTTTAGTCTTTTTTGCATTGCTGGGCATTTGTATTGCATTACATTAACATTAACCCAGCTGGATTTTCCTATGTATTTGATACGGTCAATGATAAAATTCTGTTTCACCATAAAAACATGGTACAGCTAGTGCAATTGCACTGAAATGATTGTCACTATTGACACCTGCTCCTCCATGAAAGAATCCTCATTTGTTGCATCCCTGAGGGATCTATACAGCCTGCGTTCTCAACATCAATTCAAAGACTAGGTGAGAGTGTCAATCAAGAGAGACTGAACTGTCTGCAGTATACAGGTGTTCTCCATCCATCACATGAGACTTACCGCATAGGCATGGGTTGTTTTGTGACTGAGTCTCAAAAAGGCTCCCTAAAATAATAGCTTCGGTCCTACCTCAGCTGCAGGTTTCCTGATTGTAGATAAGTTTCTAATTTGATCTTGCTTTCTCTTACCTTTTTTTTTTTTTTAAAGGAAGTTTTCCATAAAACAGAGTCTATGACCAATAGTAAATAAATTGACGTACTTCCTGTTGGGTACACTCCTTCAGAGACAGTGGTTGAAGGCCTGTTCTGGTCAGGCTGAAGTATTCAGAGTGTTTTAGAGCATCCTGAAATCTTCTTTTCTGTTTTTGGTTCAAAAGAGAATGTATTCAGTCTGCCACAGTAGTTACAGAATACAGTGCATTTATGATATCCATCAGGCAAAAAAAAAAAAGTTTATAACAACTTTAATGGCCCACGAGAAATTCCGAGCAATGGTAAACATTTAGAAAATAGCCCTTCCTTTGTTTCACCATACGTATCTGGAGTTCACAGGTGCTTTGTAGCCATAATTGCACCCAGTTTTTACTGAGAACAGGAATGGGAACATTAACTAATTGATACTGTGGTGAACCTGTTGATCCTTTGAATAGCCCTACATTATCATTAAAGTAAATCTTAGATTTAGATGAATGAATTTTTGAGATAGAGATTAGATAATGAATATAACTCTGAAACAAAGGGCCAAATGCTTATTCTAATATATATATTAGAATGTATACACATCTTTGTATTAAATCAACTCTGCTATGTGAGTAAGTAAAAAGGAAGTCTCTCCTTGCAAAATCTTACGAATGTAAGAAGTGTGCCATGTTTTGTTTATGGAACACACCATTTCAGGATGATAAAATAGTCACTTTTTACCTTGACAAAGCAGTTACAGATTCAATCAAAATATGTTAAAACTGGGTTTTTTTTTTCTTTTTCCATAGTATTGTTGTCTTGTTTGTTTTATTTTAGGTGGTATTTGGGGGAAAAAATTATATACAGTAACTTGTTTCAGCTTGTCACGCTATTCTGTGAGGAATACTTGAGTTCACTTCTTGGAATTGCTTAGTACATACCCTTTTACACAGGAAAAGAAGTACTATTTTTAAACTGACATTCTGCCCTGTGCAGCATGAATTATATTAACCTCTTAGTTGGTCGTCCCCAACTTCAGTATTACTACTTAATGACTGCTAATGCCAAGAAATTTATATTGCCTGGTAATGCAATATACTCACTCAAAATGAAATTTTGTAGTTTAATACAAGTGTATCTAATGGACATGAACAGGTGCATGTTTCTTATTTTTTTTCAGTCTAAGCATATTTGCACTCATGATGAAGATGTCATGCTGGTGGGAGCCAATTAATGCTCCTTAAATAGATAACCCTATTTAGGGTTGTATTTTAGCATCAAGTAAAAACACTTAGAGCAAATATAATGAAGATTTGAAAATAAATTCTTGAAACAACTATCAACAGAACAGGATGCAGTCACCAGTGAAAAATGAAATAAATGTAAACCCATCAAGTACATCTGCATATATCAGTCCCTATCACAGTACAGCAACACATTCTTATATGCATTTTTTCTCTCTGTACCATATGGCTACTGAATTTTTACATTTACTTGAAATGTAATAATTTAACTGTTAACTGAGTGTAGAACAACATGCCAGATAATACAGTTGATTTTATTTTAAACTCTCTTCTCACCTGTTTTATTTGAAGTGATAGCTGCAAAAAATTTGAACTCAGTATATCAGAACACAGGCACAGATTTATATTCATATATTTGGAAAATAAATTTGCTGTGCTATTTGACTTCCTTAAGTGTAGTTACCTGCTCTGCAAATGAGTTTATACAAGCTGTTAGATTACTGGGCCTTGTAAGGCTGCACACAGTTCATTCTTATGTTCTTAATAGGATTTAACTATTTTATATATTGATCTCATACTTTCATTATCAAAGGGAAACCTTATTTCAATTTTAAAGGCTTCTAGTAAAAACAAGAATGTGAAATGCATTTCAAAAGAGATTTTTTTTTAATTTAGCAGGAAATAATATGTCCTTAAATATGAAAACTTAAGGAAAAATCATGTATTAATTTCTTACAATATTATTTCACAAGAGTGATTAGAATAATTGTTGCAGTATCCATAGATCTTTTAAGGCTCTGAGAAGTGTTGTTTGTTAAAAGTATTTTAAGAAAGGAAGGGTTGGAAGTGGGTTGAGGAGCACATGGGTGTTGACAAAGCGATTTCAAAAAGTATCAGCTGTGCCACCAAGCTTCTGTCTTGTGATTCAGACCACATCTTGTGTGCACTATTTGAATATTTAAAGACAGAGTTGTTAAAAAAAAGTATTTTTTCTGCAGGGAATTAAGTTAGTCTGAGTAACTACGTTTAGGGACGAAGAACTTTTCAGTTGAAGTATGTCTGCTGTTTTGTTGATGGTGGGAAAAGTCCACCAGGAATTTTTCCATCTTCAGTATAAGAGGATACATAATTGAGGACATTTATTGCCTCAAAGTTGATTTTTCTATGGACCATCATTTCAGCTCTCTGTCTCTACTTGGGCAATAACATTCATTTCTTTATATATCAGAAATAAATTCTGGGTTGTTCTCTCCTATTTCAAAATGTGATGAGATGAAGACTCTATTCAACTCAAGATTTTCAGTAATTTTCTTTTCAGCCAATAGGAGCCTTATTTCTCCAGAAATGCCCTTCATGCGCGTGTTACTTTCAAGATGTGTTGCTGCTTCCTCTCAGATGAATATTCTGAAAGTTCCTCAGATCTCTTCGTCCTTTATGCATTTTCAGCTCTGTAACTTCTTACCAGGATAGGTAATCTTTATTTTGTTCACTTTGAATATAGCAGGAGATGGTGATAGAATGAAAATAATAGCTGCAGACTTTACTTTAAATCTTAGAAAGACCTGAATGTTCTTATGATCCTTTTGAAAGTGTCAAAATATTGTCTACTATTACATAAGGTCCTCTGCATGAAGGAGGGGTGGTTCGGGGTAAATTGGCTTAGGACAAAAATAATGGAAATACAGCAAGAAAACGTTTCTTTCCACTCCCCACAAAATTTGGTACGAAAGCTTTTAAATGTGCGGGCAGTAGCATACAGCAGAAAACTGTTCGGAGCTGGAATCACTGGATTTGCTTCTTCATTCTTTCGCTTGTTTTATGCTTGTGTGATTCCACTGACGTCAGAATATAATGTGTAATGGGATGGAAAATCAGGCCATCTTGAACTGCTTTCCTCTCTGCCTTCCACTTCCTGAAGCATTCCTTAAATGGGATGCACTGTACTGGGGTAGATCATTTACCTTAGTGACCATGGCTCTACAAAATGATGCAAGATAGAGCACCTTTTCCACGGTTTTAATTCGTGAAGACCTTACTTATATGGTGCCTGATCTGTCAGTGAGATAAAAGTCTGAACCCACCAGGGTGGATGACAGGAATGAGTTTTAGTCGACCTCAGCTCATTTAAAGGACCATTGAATTAGTCTGTTGCTGCTGTTGTATTTTGGAAGGAATCCATAATTAAAAAATAGTTGGGCTAGAAAGTGAGCATGGTGTCATCCACATCTCTCTATTCTCCAGTTTATCAGGATGGCCTTAACCATTGACCAGGACTCTGAGACACATGACAGCATTAATTTCAGTCCTCTAATTTGAGATGGTCAAGTCTGTAATTTCAGCAACCCAATATGGGACAATCTGAGGTTTTGGAGAAAATCAAACTTCAACTTCTTTCAACACTGAA